TTGTTTGTGTAATCATCGTTCTTGTGACATAATACTTTTCTTTATGTTTAAAATAGATGATGTGTGTGATAGTGCAACTACTGAATGAAACCTATCCTATGAACCATTTTTTTGATTTCTCTCTCTGAAAATATATTATAATCTATATTGGGCCAGCTTTTGTACTGTTTCTCTATCATCTCATCAATATATATATAGATAGATAGCTAAATAGAAACATAAATCGCTTTTCCGCTTATTTTTCTTGTAGATATCAATTGAAATTGTTCACACCGCCTATAACAATGTCTGAATTGTCACCATTAGTAAAAGATTCTGTGGGTATGGCATAGTCAAGATTATATTTCTTTTTTCGTGGAAACTCAATTTCTCATTTGCTTTAGATGATTGCATGGAAACATTGGAAAGGAGTGATCAACTTCATGAATTATTTATACAAGTAAACATAAGAAGATGTTGTCTGACTAAGTTACACTTATTTTCTCTTTTCGTAGGAGTCATCTCCGTTATTGGCTAATGCTGCAACGAAGCTGTCCACAACTGATGAATATTCCGAGAAAGAATTAAGTCAACAGCTTCGAACAGCTGATGTGGCAGTCACTTTGTTTGAATGCATGCAATGTTATGTTAAAATTCAGCAATGTAAAGTAAAGAATTTTCAAATGAACCGAAAATCAATTATAGGATATAAATTTTTCTTCTAATCCTTCCTATTTAGATAGAAGATTATATATCTGATTCAAATGACCAAACAAATCTTGATCGTGCAATACAAGAACATCGAGAGGAACAAGAAATAGCATCAACAATACAAATAAATCAGTCCGCGTTCGATTTTCACGTACACGAGAAAAAATGAATATAATGCTCTTCTACATTAATTAGATGCTTACAAGCCAAAAAACACTATAACTCTTAAGTATTTCCTATACTGACAAACCTACAGAATGACCTATGTGAAGTCTTTGATGTTTCTCTCTTTTTGTTTTGTTGCTCTTCAATTATTTCTTTCATCTGTATATAGTATAAACACTCTTTGGATGTAGTACCCCTAGTCTTTATATTGTCCTTAATGCATTTGAACTTTTTACATATAATGACTCCTGTGTTTATCATAAGTAGAACATCATCAACCTTTGATCTTCTGCTATATGCACTTCGCATAGGAGACTTCATCAGATACGAAACCATTTAGCAAAGAAGAAATTTATTTACTATAACTGCATATTACTGTCTCCTTACAAGTAGTTATAAACCATAAACAAGAATGATGTCCTTGATCTCTATGGAGAATATCACAGGTTGCCGATAGATCTATTCAACTTCAATAATACAGAAGCTGGTTTATATGTTAGGGTCAGATCAATTCTTGTTGCCTTGTCTTTGTTTTCTTGTTTTTTCCTTAGTTCCATGTGAAACTATGATCTATTTGAAAAAAAAAGAATATTTTGAATTTCATTTCTTTTGTTCATTTTTTATTTGTTTTTTATATAATCATCGTATAGTAGATATTTCCTATTCAGCTTTGAATATAGCCCCATTAATTATATTTGATTCTAGATATACATGGAAAATATGATGGAAGTTGACAGTAACGATGCTGTAAAAACAAATTCTCAATGCACAACAAATTATCAAGTATAAAAATTCAAATTATTCCTTTACTATGCCAATACACATTTTGTTTTCAATAGGTAGCACAATCGAAAGAAGAAACAATCTATGCGACTTCTACTAATAATGCTGATGTAATAAAAGAACGTCAAGAACACGAAATGGTGTGGAAGGATTTGGAAGACTTTGAACAACATGAAGAACAGCATAGACATAGTAAAGAAAAATGGGAACAAGATAGCTTAAAATACTTTGAAGCTGTTGATCTATCTGACCAGACTGCTACCCAACAGCGAAGACAAATTACTGGTGTGAAACAAACGAATCATGCAGTTCAATATAAAAAACCAGATCCCTTACTTAAATACTTACAGAATTTGAAACCATCTCAACAAAATCAATTTAAAGAACAACGCCAGCTTCTAGCATCTTTCGAACGTTTACAAGTTTATGAACATCATGAAAAGTCAGATTTAGACAAATTCTAAACTTAGTTTCGTAGTTAGTCTATTTGCTCATTGAAGATTTAACGATGAGTCAAAAAAAAAATAAGATGTGAATTCTTTGTCATGTTTTTCTTTGTTGTTTAATAATGCCTGTATTTCTAATTATACTATAGTGAAAAACTCTATTTGGAACACATAAACACTTTTGAAAACTTTAATAAACATTTCATACTGGGTGTTTTCTTCTTTCTCTAAATGAAATTATTTTAGTATTTAAAAGTATCACTGCATAAACATGTGTATTTTTTATCTTCTAGATTCGAAAATCTATTTTTTCACTACATTAATATTGCATGGCTCATATCAATCACAACATTCGTATACCACATACTAATGGTTCATCACAAGATGCTCAAGGTCATTGGTGGGAAATGTTATCACGAACACAAATACTTATTCAGCAACAAGAAAATCTGAATAATCATAACAATAAGGAGCAACAACAAACGAAAAAGAAGAAACGTCGTGGTAATCGAAAAGCACAGCGTTTAAGAAGAAGCGAACGTCGCCAAGTACAAAAACAGAGTAACAATAAAAATCATATGGCAGAGAGTGTCATTATTGTAGTCGATGATAATGACGACAATGTAGAAGGAGAACAACAAACACAAATTCAAGTATGCTTATCATTCACATGAGAAAAATAATAATTTTCGATTTCTATTTCTTTTGATTCTATTTAGACGTATTCATTAAATAAACACCTTGAAACAAGATCAGAAAATAAACGTAAACGTCAAGAACTAAATCAAGATAATATAGACGTGAGTCGATCATTCAGTCAATTATCAATATCACAAGGAAACAAGCCAAAACGGAATAAGAGAACAACAACAACAACAACTGATGAAACAAATAATCAACTAGTAAAAGTAGTCAATGGTCAAAACCAAAAAGAAAATGATAATGAATTATTACCTATGAATTCTATACAGAGATTTAAACCAAGTTATTTAAAAATATCCGATCAAGGATTCAAACAAATGTTATCGAATGGAATAGATAATGGTGATGAAATTATTCAATGCTTAAATACTGATGAAAAACTTCAATGTGTTCGTCAAATGACAGAAAAAACAAATACTATATATTATCTCGATTTGCAACGTCAACTCTGGCGAGACTATTACGACCATGGCATGAGAGAAAATCAATGGGCACCACGAGTATCAAAATCCTTTGCTAAACAACATTATACTTGTCGTACTTATGGTTTCGCCAAACATCAAGTTGAAAAACATCTACAAACAATTACAAGACAGTTTCACGATAGATTAATTGAATTGCAACAATCTATAACACAGTTAGAAAACAATGTTCAACAATGGCAACCATACATTGATCCGGCTATTTTATGCAATGCTATCAACACATGTGTTCAAAGTGCTCAACAACGTTTAAGACAACAAGTTGATTATAAAAGAAAAATGTTTACATTAGATTCAAATGATCGTAATTTAATTACCAAATTCTATGACTTCAAGCCAAATGACGAACAGGTTTTATTTAAATAGCATATCGTACAGATCTGTATATATATGTGTTTGAAATTTAGGTACAATTGGCGAAACAAATATGGCAGACAACAGCGAATATATTAAAAACACAAGAACAAGAAGAAATCCTTCGTAAACGAATTTTCTTACGACGATTACCAAGTGCCTATGATAAAATAATTAACCAATCTCTCGATTATGTGAAACCAATGCTTTCAAACAAAGTTCTCGATAAAGATCGACGGGCTAGTTTAGTATCCAATTATTCGAAAACAATTACTCAATATAAATTTGATTTCATGACTTTAACTCTGGATACTATTCAAAACGTAATACGTGGTCATCAACAACAACTTGTCAAACTACAGAATAAATTGCCACAATGTTGCAATCAAATGCTAATTGAAGCAATGGAAAATCGTCGACAAGCAATGGAAAAACGTCATGAACTCTATCTTAAACATAAATTACATTCTTTTTTCGACGAAGCTCCGACGGCGGTATCAAACGAATGAATAAACAGGTTCGTCGTCGTCGGAGCAATATTTTTATATACAGTACAATTACCGCATCATCACCCTTCATTGAAGTTAATTTAAACTTAACACCAGCACAAATGACAATGCTTATGAATGGTTTCAAATATATTATACCATGCCAAAGTCGATTATGTTCTCGTCAATCTATCAATGAAATTATCCAGGAACAATATCAAAAAATAGCTTCAACTGTAAAAGATTGTCTAAATGATCATCGAATACCAATTGCGAGCGAACGAACAACACAAATATTTTCAGAATTAGAACGTACATTGCATCAATTGCAAACACAAAAATTATCAAAAGTATTAGAAAAACGTGCTCAATATGAATATAAAATCGTTCGAACTATCCAACGTCTTATACATCGACGAAAAGATATTGTTGTACGTCGAACAGATAAAAACAAAGTATTCTATATTGGTAAAGCAATAGATTTTGAACGTAAAGCTGAAGAATATATGTTAAAAACTGATGCTTATCAAGAAATTCCTGATGGTCATTGTCCTCTTGCCGATAATTTACATGCTGTAAAAACTTTACTTGATTATCTACTAGGAAAACATGCTCTAACGAAAAACCAATATAATCAATTGTCTCCAAATTTAAAAAATTTAGAACTTGGTCATTATCATGGTCTACCTAAACCACATAAAGTAAATTTATTTTAATAATATATATATATGTATACTATAGTATATATATTTCTTTTTGTTTTCCGTTTACTTTAGCCTCAAACACCATTACGACCTATCATTGCATCTATACGTGCACCAGCAACATTGATATCGCAATTTTTAAATGATCTTTTAGCACCCATATATTTAGATGTTACTCGTAAATATACATTTATTAATGACATTGATGTCATCCGAACATTAGAAAAACATGCTGCAAATGGTTATGTTACATCAACAACCAAATTTATTACTTCTGATGTTGAAAATCTTTATACAATGATACCAAGACAAGGTGCATTAGAAGCATTAGGTCGATTTTGCATTAGACATTCGAAGCAAGGTAAAATTGGAACCTTTGCAATTGATCATATTATGAAAATGGCTCGTGTCATTTTGGATACGGATTGTTTTGCCTACAATAAGAAATATTATAAACAAATTCGTGGTGGAGCAATGGGTTCAGCATTTACACAAGTTTTAGCTAATATTTATATGTTTGAATGGGAACAAGATCTAATTCAATATCAAGAAACACATAATGGAATTTATGGAAGGTTAATGAACATAATTTTCACATAAAGACACTTTTATTGAACTACTTATCTCTGTTTTAGATATATAGATGATATTTTTATGACAACAAATGAAACCATCGAAGAAATCAATCGTGAACTTGAAAAAGCACAACTTAAAGATATTAATATTAAAATTACAACTATAATAAGTACATCTGCACATTTTCTCGATGTAACTATTACAAATTAGAATGGAAAACTCAGAACATCTATTTATCACAAACCAACAACTGAACCATATATTTTACCATATACATCGGATCATCCACATCATATTCATCGTAATATTCCATATGAAGCATTATTACGTGCTGCTCGTATTTGTTCACATGTCAATGATTTTAATTCAGAACGTATCCGTATTGATATGTCATTATTGTTGAATAGTTATCCACCAAATTTTATTACTAAACAACTCCGTCGATTCTTTCGTTTAAATAGTGCATTGCCTGTATTAACTGAATTAAATGAAGATGTTTACCACCATTTACATCAAACTCTATTACAACAACCAACACGTCGTGAGAAAAAACTTATTAACATGATGCATGATTCAATTGACAAACCATTCGTATTGCAACCAAAAATACGGAATAAAGAAATAATGTATCCATGTTATCTCTTTGATACTAGTCTCACTAGTAATTTACCAAATCAATTTTACAAATGGTGGCAAACCAATTATGCATTTCCTCGATCACCACTTGAACAGATAAAAGTGATGCTAGTCGCAAACACCAATCGTACTTTAGAAAGTTTTTTCATTCATAAGAAACCTCCACGCGAACTATTAACAAAAATGGAAACAATATGAACAATCGCTATTTACACATCCACACCCTACTAATGTCAATTATATTCAAATGTTCCATGGATGTCAACTACATGAAATCGTACTTATTGTAAAACATGTTTCTCCTCATAAACACTTGATATAACATATTTGTTTTATTGTAATTTTCTTTTGAAGAAATAATAAAAAGTGTAACTTTGGACAAAACAAGTTTCCTTTTTTAAAAAGCAAACCCACCTACTCTAACCCACAGAATCTCATATATTATTTCTTTTTTCTTTTGTTTCAGATTATTATCGATATTTTCCCTATTAAACTAAAGAATATTCTAGCCTGATGCATCTGAAATGGGTAGCCACAACAAACCCACAATCGAAACCAATAAAACTTCGTCATTCTCATCAAATATCCAATTAAACAAAGGAAGTCTCGATTGGAACATAGAAATTCTTTGGACTCATCATAAATAAACACATCTATTATAAGCACTTTCTGCAATATACTAGATTTTATCTCATTATTCTGAATGTTACTCTCTGAGAGA